GGAAAGAAAAAAGAAACCCTGTGATATAACAACCAGAAATAAAAATGAAATATTCTTGAAAGTATTGTGGTACATTAATAGACTTGTCTCATAAATATTTGATTATTTGGGGGTTAAAATACAAGCCACTCATCCTCTCTATTCTCTGTGCTCTGCTTAAAGTACTCCTTTTCAATATCTGGTGCCTGTTCTCCATGAATTTCAGTTTCTGTGTCTGAGCACTGCTGCTTCCCAATGATTTCTCTTCCATTTAGGCTTTTTAGTGGTCCCACAAGCTTAGAAAAAAAAAATCAGATCATAAATAGGGTTAGAAAGAACCAACAATCACTAATTCTATTAGATCCATTTGGTTTATAAGCTAATCTTCAAACAGAATACAGCATTGATGTCTCTCTAACATGTTGATAGTGGCTTTAGCTCTCAAAATCTTCTTAATTTTGAATATTGAATAAATTAGGGGATCAGTAAAGTAATTCTATTCAGGCTCTCTGATCTTGTACAATAATTTAATTTTGCAGTAGTATGGTGAAACACAGTCAACCTAATAAATATTAATGGTTAATTTCACATAATACTATAATAATATATATACAATATAATATATAATCATATATTATGCAGTTTTACCAGTTTTGTCTGACAAAGTCAAAATAGTTTAACAGTGTGACTTTACCCTCTATCATCTAACCTTTTTGTTCTATGTTTTGGGGCATAAAAAGTATCTTAAACCTATATCAATTGTACTGTCAATTCATGATAAATTCTTGTGTTTGACATAGAACTAGGCATGTTTAATGAGGGAGAAAGTCATATACATTGTTTTCAATACTATATTATTCTATGTAATTGAAAGAGCTTTGGCGCCAAAGAACCTTATATGACTTAGGGATGAGTTGCTGAAATTCTGCAGGCTTTAGTCTCCTTATTTGTAATAATTTCTTATAAAATTTAATTAAAACATGAATTTAAGTGAAATAAATTAATGGCTACTTATAGCCATTATTTCCTTTCCTTTGGTTCCTGAATTAAGTCTTACTAATATTAAAGTAGGAACAGTTAATGCTTTGCCATCTAGGTCAATCCAAAATAAAGCAAATAGGTAAGAAATTATTCCATCGCTTTAGCAAATATTTCTGTCATGTGTCTTCCTTTGATGCCCAGCTTAAATTTTACACCAGCTGAGCAGAATCTCTTACCTCTTCTGAAATCCTGAACATTATTTGTCTGAAATATTTATTTCATGTTAACTGGAGGCTGCTCTCAGCTCTCATTATTTAGTTGATTTTCATATGACTATTTTTAAATCTCCATAAACAATAAAGTTCTTAAAGTTAGGGATCTCATCTCCCTCCCTCCCTCTCTCCCTCCCTCCCTTTCTCCCTTCCTTCCTTCCTCCCTTCCTTCTTTTTATCAAAAACCTTGTATCAGACAGAATGCAGCTGGGGGGGGCAATAAATATTTTTGAGGAATTGAATATTATTATTCAATAATTATTTGTTTTGCAGTCTTTCATGTATATGCTAAATTCCAAATACTTAAAAATGCAAATTAATGCTTTTTAATCTACTCCAGTTTGATCAAATTCAGTGATTCACAAAATGCAATCTTCTAGTTATTGCCATGTTGAATCCTCACATCACCTCAGAGGGGCATTAAAAAAATATAACAAAGTCAGAAATCCTCAATAGGTAAACTTAATGCTAAGGTCTTTTTAGAGTTGTGTATTTAAGAGAAAGTAAATCATATGCAATATATACGGCTCTAGAAATTTTAAAAATGGTTTTAATATCTTCTATTATATGAAATTTATATTGAAATAATCACTGTTGTTGCTTCATTCTGGGCATTAATTCCTAAAAGCCTTTAGCAAGGAAAAATGTCACATTGAGCAAATCAAGAAGGTTGTAGTGAGAAGGGTAAATACATAAGGGTGTCATGTGGTGAAAGGTAAGAGTCTCAAGTATTCTCTTTACTTTCATTTTATATAGCTCTGGTCAATTTCACAGCCTCAACCCATACTGAACAGGGAAATTGGAAAACTGCAAAATCGATTTACAGATGTGAAGTTCTATTCTCTTTTACTCCTCCTTCATCATAGCTGCTATCACTCTTGTGCTGTGTGGTAATATTAGTGACAGTAGTCGGAGCACAGCTGATAATTGCTAAAAGTCATTCTCTTAAAGTGGAAGCAGTAAAAAAAAAAAAAACAGGGCGACTGTGTAATTTTCTCATTTTTCAAATTTGCTACTTTTATAATCCTTCATCTTTGTTACAGTTAAATATAAAGCAACCATGATTATAGCAAATCTTCTTTGCTTTTGGTTCCTAGGGAATTACAATAATAAAGCCTTAAATGTCTAATTTGAACTGAATATAGGTCCTTCAAATATTCTGGTTTGCTTTTTTTTCAATTTTCAGCCTTCGAAGATATTACTTTAAACTGTAAATATATGAGAAATTTATTTCAGAGGACAATATAGTACTTAATACATTAAGAAGAAACTGAACTGCTTTTGCTGCTTCCTTTCCAGATTGGTGGTATGTTTAATAGGCTCTTTTTAAATTTGAAATTAGAGCTACTTTATTTGAAAACAAAGCTATAGCCTCTGACTGTTCATTATCAATCTTGGAACAGAATCATCTTTGTATTCTTGTGTGTGTGTTTTCTGAGAGATCACTGAAAATGAATAGGACTATTGCCTCAATTTGAGATCCTCCTACTTATTGTTAAAAATGTGTCGTAATGATAATGAAACCTATACTATGCAATGTCATCTGCCCAGTAGAATGGAAACCATTCACAGTGTGTCAAATGAATAGCAAACTTGTAATTATAAATTTTCATTTCTTAGATTTATTTTTAAATTGCCTTTTGTTCTTTGTATTCTGCTTATTCCCAAGTTTATAAGTCTCTGTGACTCAAAGAATTAGAAAACCTACTTTTAATTAACTTAGCAATACTGCCAAGTCTGTTGGTTAATTAGTTGAAAATTAAATGAAATAGAAAATTGAGCCTGAAATGGTGGTATACATCAGGTGGGTGTGTATACATCCCAGCACTCAGGAGGTTGAAACAGAAAACAAGGCCAGTCCAGGCTGCATAGTAAGAACCTGTCTCCAAAAAACAAAACAAAACTCTTCCTCCTCTTAAGGAGAAAGTAGAAATTCCCCTATTTTAATACGGCTGAAAATGTTGTCAACTAAATTTGAATTTTGGATGAACAAATAGCATTTAAGCTAAATACATCCCAAATAATGTATGCTCTGTATTCTTATTTGTTAAACCTGACAGTCCTGAGAATCAATACCATTTTTCTTAATGCTATCAATATTGTGAGCAAAATCCCTACTATTTTAATAAATTGAGCTCATAAAAATGTAAATTTAAAGTTCTGAGTAACAAAAGTTAAATCAAATCCATCCATGCAAAACTATGCTGGAAGTGTTTTCATAAAGAGGAATTATCACGTAAGTCCCAGTTCTGAGGAAACACCACTTCTTGTTAATTTGCATAGGAAAACAGTACTTTGAGCTTTAGATTTCTCAGCATGGCCAGGGAATAGAACTCAATTATTTTTCTTCATTCTCTGTCTTTCTCAATTACAGTTTAAATTTCAAGATCCTTTATTAAGTTCAACTAAGGACCTGGCATGTCGCTCTGTGGGCCAGTGCTTGCTAAACATGTATGAGGCCCCAGGTTCAATCTCCAGCTCCCCCAAGACACAAATAAATAAATAAATAAAGAAGTTTAACTGTTTGATCTTTTTAGTGCTAGGTGAGTTATGACCACAGACTACCTACGTCTCTCCTAAGAATTCCTCCCTGCCCACCGGTAGTCATTCCTTATGTTCAAAGGTCTAGCAATCCCCAATGTCCACTCGTTTGTGTTTCACATTTACTTTAAAAACATCAAGGGTCCTTAACCTGCCAACACCTTCGAAGATGCCAGAAACAGGACAAGTAAATCACAACAGATCAACAATGACATTTCTGCTTTCTTTCAAAAGGGTTGCAGCCTGTGAAGCGGGAGAAGAGCGTGGGTTGTTGTTCCACGTCACAGGCAAAGGGTCTGCGTGTTCAGGAGTCCCAAGGTCTTATGCGAGATGCTCCCTACAGCAAATAAAGGGTCAGCGCTCCGAGAATCTGCCTGTTTCCAGGCTCAGGGATCTCGCCCGGGTTTCTTCGGAGAAAATCTCAGGCCATGCAACCCCTCGTGTTCCGTGGGTCTGAAGGCCTCGCTGGCGTGCCCCGGGTCTTGCAGGTGGAACAGGTGTTTCCTGAGCAGCCCCTGTAGCCGGACCAAGTTCATCGGTGGAGAGTGGAGCACCCGGCCACGGCGATGCTGTTGCAATCGGGTGTCACAGGTGACTCATCAGAGAGGGTTGGCTTTGGGGCCTGCTGGTATTTTTCTTCAGGGTGGAGTGTCCTATTTCCTTTGCATTTTGGACACCGGCCTTCCTGTCCATTTCCAACATTTTCTGGTTTCACAGTCCCCACGCAGAGCCCGCTTTCATACAGGAAGCTAGTCATTGGCAGGAAGTTTAGGGAATGGAGGAGAAAAAAAAAAAACGGGGGTTAAAAAAATGAGCTAGGGCCGAGGGAGAGGCCTGAAACGGGGAAATTCGTGCTTGAACAGCTTCCCTTACCCCAGCCCCGCAGAATGACAGCTCTTCTCAGTCAGAAGACTACTTCTCCCGGCAGGCGCTGCGCGCTCCACAGGCACAGGCTGGCCGGCTGCCCGCTCTCCACCTCCGCCAGAACCAGCCAATAGAAATCCCCGGCTTGGGCCTCCGCCCGACTCGGACCACGCGGGAGCGAGGGCAATAAAACTACATTTCCCGATGTGCATGGTCTCGGACTGTGACCAATCAGCTATAGGGATTCGGAGACTGGGGGCGGGGCCGGATGCAGAGGCCATCCCATTGGCTAGGAGAAGCTTAGAAGAGCCGGAACCCGGGAGCGAGTGAAACGAAATGACATTTCCTCTTTAAATAGCTGGAGCCGGGGCCCCTTCTAGAAATGGCCGCGTCGGCAGGTGGGTAATGTGGTGACCAGGGAGGTGTTGGAGGGAGGTGGCAGGACGGGGCGTAAACGGGCACGAGCTGGGAGCTGAGGAGGTAGCCACGAGGAGCAGGAGAGAGGATGGAGAGGTGGAGGGGAGGGATGATAAGATGAATGGCGTGAAGGGCGGTGGGCGGTGCGGCCAGACGGGGATGGGGCGTCTGGGTACCCGCCACCGCTCCGACCCGTTCGTGAGGCGGTTGATGGGTCACCAACGGTCGCTCTCCATCGAGCTGCCCTTGCGAGGCTCCTGCCGGTCGCGCGGCGGAGTCCCCGCAGTCGCCTCGCTGGCCCGGCTCGCTTGTTCCCTCCGCGAGCACGGCGCCTCGGGCTCGCCGGGCTCCGGGAGCAGCGGGCTGGCCTTGGAACTTGCCCGGCAGCTCGCTCCCGGCTCTCTGCCTCCCAGATCCCGTATCCGCGGTCCTGAGTATAGACGCAGATGTGTTTGTGTAGCGGGGGTGGGGTTGAGGGGGGTGGGGAGGGAAGGGGAACTGAACGAATAAGCAAACCAAAATAAATTAAAAAAAAAAAAAATCCCCGCGACGCCGCAGCTGCCCCGAACTTCTTGTGGTTGTACGATTTTTCTCCTCCTAGATTTAAGTAAGTCTTCCCCAACACCGAATGGGATTTCATCTTCAGACACAGCCAACGATGCCATGGACCCCTTCCATGCTTGCAGTATTCTTAAGCAACTCAAAACAATGTACGATGAAGGACAGTTGACAGACATTATAGTGGAAGTGGATCACGGGAAAACATTTTCCTGCCATAGGAACGTTCTTGCTGCAATCAGCCCTTACTTCAGGTATGATGACGGTGGAAACTTCTGTTGCTGTCTGCACCGAGCTCCTTTTCCCCCCTCAGTATTGGGTACTTGATTATTATACTGAGTTGGGACCACAAAAATGAAACCAAGGACTTGTCTTAATGGGCACAAGTTTTTGACCCCTAGGGATTCTTCTAGTGGTTGTACGATTTTTCTCCTAGATTTAAGTAAGTCTTCACCAATACCGCATGGGAATTTGTCCTCGAACCTGTGTTGGAGGCAAGTGACCAGAAAATCTAGACTTGTGCTACCCAGTGTGGCAGCCACTAGCCACATCTGACAATTTCAATTATTTAAAATTAAACAAAATTTAAAAATTCAGTAACTCAGGTACATCAAACATTTCAAGTGCTCAGGTAGCCACGTGTGGTCAGTGGATACACAGCGTTTCCATCATTGAAATTTTTATTGGACAGTGCTAATCTAGAATTTGTTCCAAAAAGTTACTCGTGATGCATCTTTACTAAGTGTGTAGAACTCTTTAAGAAGCCTGTTAACTCACAAACAAATGAGCATCAATATGTTGTTTTGAATGCCATTCGGCCAAAAAGCAGTGGAATAAAAATCAGTGAAACAGAGCTTTTGTGTCGTAGGCCCCAAACCAGTAATTATTCCCAAGTTTCCAGAAGTATTTTTATGTTGATTTCACCTGTATTAATTTTTGCTTATCATAAAATATTGAAAAAAAACAAAAACAAAAAAACCCTTGGGTTTGAAAAATAACTCAAAGAAGAGATTAGTGGAAAAGGTATTTTTCTGTCTGATCATAATTTTTTTTGTTTCAAGTGCTCACTTTTTAAAGCCTTTCAATATTCAGAAGTGCTGCATGTAAAATCTCTCAATGTACTCTTAATGTGCTTTTTCCTTTTGAAGGTGCTTCCCATTATAGGGCACGTAACAGTATAATGTTCCAGACTGTAGTTTCTGGTTCCTCTTTCTCAGAATGCTGGGTTAAATATAGTTACTTCAGTCTTATCCTTGTGATGTAACCATTTAGACTTGACTAGGATAGGTCACTGGACTACAAGATAGTGAGCTGGAAAGAAAAAAGATGAAACTCATATATAGAAGATAATGTTTGGTCTGGAAATGGGAACTACCAGTGAGGTTCTCGTACTCAGGTTATTGAATAGATAGGATCAGGTAATTTATGTGTTTAAATATATGATGCAGGTGTTCCTGATCAAGCTCTGGGTTAAGCTTGTGTTCACGTATTGTCTTATATAATCTTTATAATCCTAGCCCAGCACAGTTATTATTTGCATTTTATGTATGAAGAAATTGAAGCTCTGTGAGTGATGCCTAAATCAATTGACTAGATTTTTTTTTGGCAGTAGTGGAGTTTGAACTCTGGGCCTCATGCTTGTTATGCAGGTGCTATACTACTTGAGCCATACCCAGCCCTAATTGCTTTAGTTATTGTTTGGCATAGGGTCTTGCAACCTAGACTTTGACCCTCCTAATTATGCTTCCCATGTAGTTTGGGTAATAGGTGTGTGTCACCATGCCCAGCTTTCATTGGCTGAGATGGGGGTCTTGTGAACTTTTTGTCTGAGGTGGCCTCAAACCAAGATCCTCTTGATCTCTGCCTCCCAACTAGTTAAGATTACAGATGTGAGCCACTGAGCCTGTCAGAGGCTAGGTTTGATTCCAGAGTCAGGCTTCTTAGTCACAGTATGACTTTTAAGGAACAAGAGTGGGTCAAGTGGGTCTTCTTTGAAGATTCTTTTCAAAAATTTTTATTGTGTATTAGATTTGAATAGTAAAAAATAAACTGAAACTTGAAAGTGAAAATGTTTATACCATACTAAAATTTTATATCATTTAAATATCATCCATATAAAATTAGCTTTGAAGTCCTCACAAATTAAGAAAATGGCTGGAAAACTTTCTGGGCATAAGATATGAGTGTTCAAATAAAGATGTGTGGCTATAAAAGTGAAAGATTAGGTTCTTACCTCTTGTTAGAGTTTTGGTGCTGTGCTATTCCTGATTGGATCTAGAAAATCATACTGAATAATTTCTTTCAAATTTATTTTTTGTAACATTTTTTTTTTTTGATGGTGGTACTGGGGTTTGAACTCGGGGCTGGGCACTTGCTAAGCAGGTGCTCTACCACTTGAGCCATGCCCATACCTCATACTTAATAATTTCTAAGTCTTGCATCACAGGTGGAAGAATTAGAATAGCTGGAAATCTGGCATTGCTGTTTGGTGGTCCCAGTGACTTGTTGGAATTAAAGTTTATATGATTATTAAAAATTTAGGGTACTCAGAATTTTGTGTGAAGAGGTGCTTCCACTTAGAGTTTACATGAAGAACCTATTACAAAAGAGGACTCATCAAGTACCAGAATACTCCTGTGTGTAAGACCTGCCTCTTTAAGCCAGGAGCGGTTGCCATGATAAAGGGATGTGTGGTAATGTTCTCCTTGGGGAGTTAATCTCTGCCTAAAGAAAGGCTTTAGTTTTCTTTTTAATTGGTAGCTGTTTAGGTGAGCCTTTTAGCATCTGAATTGAAAACCAGCTCATACACTGGAACATTTGGTTTTTAATCATCAAAACCCATACAATACTAAACTTAAATTTTTCATTGTTAAAGTAAAAATAAAACTCAGAGATGAGTAACCCATGCAGCTAACTGTGTCTTTATACCTTCGAGGTTTCTCTGCTACATTTTAAAATTAGTCCCAAATATTTGTTGAATACTTCAAAAGCAATTGGAAAATTTCCCATTTAAGGGTATTTTTCATAACATAACACTTAAAATATAATTGGAGGGGTCAATCTTAGTAATAATTTTTGTCAGTATCTTCAAAAAAATATCTATTAAGCATCTCATACCTTGAAAATTAAGATATATATCACACAGCTCTTTCCTCAAATGGCTTTTAAAAGAGATTTTGATTTTGTTATATTTAATTTTTTCAGAGTTGCCTAGAATGAAACCTTAAAGTGGAACCAAGGGTAATGATGTTTGCAAATTATTATTAACTAATAATTAAGAGTCAGATGTTTCAGCTAATTAATGTTTTGGCTAAGAACATCTGATAAATGCACCAGTATTTTAATGTTTTAAAAAAGTTCTGTCTTAAGCTAGGTGCCAGTGGCTCCCACCCTGTAATCCTAGCTACTTAGGAAGCTAAGACCAAGAGGACCTTTGTTCCAGACCAGCCCCAGCGAAAAGTTCACAAGACCCCATTCAGCCAGTAGCTGGGCATGGTGATGTGAACCTGTCACCCCAGCTACTGGGAGGCTGAGATTGGGAGGATTATGGTTCCAAGCCAGCCTGGGCAAAAAAGTTCTGGAGACCCCATCTCAATGGAAAAGAGCTGGGTGTGATGGTGTGCATCTGTTATCCCAGCAATGGTGGAAAGCAGTTCTGGCCAGCCTGGGCAAAAAGTGAGACCCTATCTTCAAAACAACCAGAGCAAAAAGGGCTGGAGGCATGACTCAAGCTGTAGAGCACCTATCTGGCAAGCACAAAGCCATGAGTCCAAATCCCAGTACTGCCAAAAACAAAGCAAAAACTTGGTCTTAATGGCAAAAGTTTGGCAGTGTAAAAATCATTGTTTCCAGAGAATCAGTGTTGTGTTAAACGTTAAACTCTCTTTAAAAGAAGACATTATATCAACCCTACCATAATCTTTATATTTCTGTATTGATATATATATATATACACATACATATATATATGTAAAATATGTTAACTTTAACTGAGAATATTAAGTATAACTTTTAAGGAAAGGTTTTCAAAATATCCCAGGGTAAGTGAAATGATCTTTAAATACCTTATTAAGGGAACATTAAAAAGACAATGTCAGTTTAAAAAGGTGTAGGTAGAGAATGCGTACTTTTGAAGATTATCCTGCTTTTTTTAAGATGAAATTTTTAAAGATTTATTTTTGACACAGGTTGCCTTGTAATTTTTTTTGCAGTTCTGGGGCTTGAACTCAGGGCCTTCACCTTGAGCCATTCTACAAGCCCTATTTTTGTGAGGAGTTTTTTTTTCGAGATAGGGTCTTGCGAACTATTTCCCCAGGCTGGCTTCGAACTGTGAGCCTCCTGATCTGTGCCTGCTGAGTAGCTAGGATTACAGGCATGAGCCACTGGCACCCAGCATCTTGTAATTTTTACTAGGACATAAAATGTTTTATTAGACTGTACCTTTGAATGTATTTTAAACTTTCTAGGACATGGCAATTTAAGGTCCAATGTTTTTAAGGCAACTAACTTGACTAGAAGCCTGGATAGAGGTTCCAGGGAAAAATCAGGATCTGAAATATTCCTTGTCACCTTTTGATTTGCTTTACTTAGGTATATTCTCCTTTTTTCAATATTGGCACTATGCAGGGGAGACAGCTTCCCTGAGCCCCCCTTAGTGCTTATGTTTGGTCCTTGACTAAGTCTAGGAACCCAATTAATTCAAGAACTGATTAACAAGAGAAAAGCACAGAGGTTTGTTTTATTAATTTTACATGTGCATGGGGATCTTCACAAGAGAGTGAAATCCAAGGAAATGATGAAAGCATGATGCTTTTGTACTTTTCAGACAAAGAGCAATAATATGACAAAATGAATAGGTCAAGTGGGTATGTGGATCAAGGTAGTAAATTCTAGGGACGTTGCTAAGTGGTATGGGATGGGAAGATGTAGAAGTACATAGAAAATTAAGGTTACTTCAGAGTTCGTTTATTCAGGCTAACAGCCACAATTACCAAGTTACTCTGGTGATCAAGGCTATTTTCCAGCCTTGGTATGTGAAAGAAATCCCTCCTTGAAGAATCTCCAGGGCTTGCTGCATATAGAGAAAGTCAGGCCAAATGGCTCTTCCTGCAGTTATAATTCCTCAAATGATTTCCGCTTGAAAGAATCTGCCAATGTGGCACATTTTGAGATGGCATGTCTTTAACTCCTTCAGCACAAAATGGACTAGGCCTGAGAATAGATAGGGCTTTTGTGATTAGCCACATGAAATCCTCTGCTAGATGGTCAATTTTTACCCCTGTCCAGAGTATCAAGGAATATATTCATTTTGTTTCTAAAGGTTATCTATGTAGTAACTTTATGCTTTTAAGACTTTGTGAAGATAATTTTTATTTGCAACATACACAAAATATGAACCATTTTTTCTTCCTTAGATCCATGTTCACTAGCGGCCTTACAGAAAGTACTCAAAAAGAAGTTCGAATAGTTGGTGTGGAAGCGGAATCAATGGATTTAGTATTGAATTATGCCTATACTTCTAGAGTTATTCTCACAGAGGCTAATGTTCAAGCCTTGTTCACTGCAGCTAGCATCTTTCAAATTCCTTCTATCCAAGACCAGTGTGCTAACTATATGATCAGCCATTTGGAGCCACAAAATTCTATTGGGGTCTTTATCTTTGCAGATCATTATGGTCATCAGGAACTTGGAGATCGCTCAAAAGAATATATTCGTAAAAAGTTTCTATGTGTCACCAAAGAACAAGAATTTCTCCAGCTGACAAAAGATCAACTAATAAGCATACTAGACAGTGATGATTTAAATGTAGATCGAGAAGAGCATGTTTATGAAAGCATTATAAGGTGGTTTGAACACGAACAGAATGAAAGAGAAGTGCACCTTCCAGAAATTTTTGCAAATGCATACGTTTTCCTCTGATGGAAGATACATTTATAGAGAAAATCCCACCTCAGTTTGCACAGGCTATAGTCAAAAACTGTGTAGAAAAAGGACCATCTAACACTAATGGCTGTACACAGAGGCTTGGAATGACTGCTTCTGAAATGATCATATGTTTTGATGCTGCCCATAAACACTCAGGAAAGAAGCAAACAGTGCCTTGTCTAGATATAGTCACAGGAAGAGTGTTTAAACTATGCAAACCACCAAATGACCTGAGAGAAGTTGGGATTCTTGTATCACCAGATAATGACATTTACATTGCAGGAGGGTATAGACCAAGCAGCAGTGAGGTCTCCATTGACCATAAGGCAGAAAATGATTTCTGGATGTATGACCATTCTACCAATAGATGGCTATCCAAACCATCCTTGCTTCGAGCCAGAATAGGCTGCAAACTAGTGTATTGCTGTGGTAAAATGTATGCAATCGGAGGTCGTGTTTATGAAGGTGATGGGAGAAACTCATTGAAATCTGTGGAGTGCTACGACAGCAGAGAGAATTGTTGGACGACTGTCTGTGCGATGCCAGTTGCAATGGAATTTCACAATGCTGTGGAGTACAAAGAGAAGATCTATGTTTTACAGGGTAGGTGCCAAAGCGATTTAGTTCTTCATGGAAGGGCAACACATTGAGTGTTATTTACTTGATTATATGGAAACAGGTAACATTTCCCCTGTTAATTAACAGTTTAGGCTTCCTATCATAAACTATTTGTTGGAAGTCTATTCTGTAATGGATCTACTAAGAAAGTGAACTTTTGAATCAAAAATGGTTTAAAATACAAGTACACTTAAGTTACTGAAACGATCTTGTCAAGTTTTTTCTTTTTAGTGTTCTTGTGGTTTGACTTCATGTGGAATAAGGATTTTTGAAAACATTCTTTAGTAAGGAATAGTTCACCATTTGGGGAGAACTATTTCAGAGAAGTTTTAAAGACTAGACAATAAAGCAAGGTTAACACATGGCTGTTTTTGCTCTTCATAATATACATGTAATTAGGAGATGCAGCAGCTGCTTTGTTGTGGAACTGACTGGGTTAGTTTAAAAGAGAAAAAAGAATGAGGTATTAACAGGGTTATAATATTCAGTTACCAAAGAGTTTTGTATAAGCATTGTAATTGCAGTAGTTTTTAACTTGGTTACAAAGAGGTTGAAATTATATTCTTCAGATTTTAATTTCACTGGTTTATGTTCCGTCCATAATAGTTTGTTGTCATTATTCTGCACTTCAAAGACTTTGAGATACAGCCTTTTTCTTACTTTTACTATACAATACATTTCGTTATTTTTCTTTTCTAAACTGTTGAGGACCAAAACTCTGGCAAAGATGCAGTAGAAATAGGCTTACTGGGTGGGATTAAATGAGGTTCTGATTTGAGAACAATATTTTCCTTACATATTTTAGTTGCTAGACTATTGAATACAGTGTAGATAATACCAAAATCCATATTCCTCAACTGTGTTTCTCAATGGGTTTTATTTAGCTGCTTTGCTCACACTATTACTTTAATACAATAGGAAAAATGGCAACTTCAGTGGAGATACACATGATTTTTAAGCCCTTATCCTGTTTTTAAAATTGCATTCTTTTGTTCTAATCCTTTTACTGAAAATTTCATAGAAATGCCTGAACCCATTTGCTTTAAGTTGAAAATCAAGTAGATTCTCCAGAATGAGTTGTACTCTCTTGTACCTCATTTTAGTTACATAGAATCACAGCATGACTTGAGTTTTTAGTCTTTCAAAAAAATGGAATATAAAGACACTAACCAGTTAGTTGCTAGAGGTAGAATTAATTATAAGACTCCCAAATAAAATTTAATCTGAGGTTGTATTTTAAATAAGAGGAATCCGAGGCCCTAAGGATTTTCTTAATTGCATATAATTTACTTTATTAAACAACTTTAGATTTTAAAAATCAAGTTTTTGTGTGTGATCTTTCTTTCCTCTAAGAAATCTGTAGAGAATTGGCATACATTAAAAAGTTTTAATTGCTATCACTTTTATCACAAATCTTGAAATAAGTTAGTAAGAGTAGGTGAGGTATAAGAAAAAGCTGGGAGGCTTAATTAAAAATGTCACAGAGTTAAAATGTCACTTAAGTTAAAATGTCACTATTTTAAGTAGGAAGTTGAATTTGTGGATAAGAGTAATCCTCATTTAGAAGAGTTTTCAAGGAGAAGCTTAATTTGGAATCAGGCATCTCTAATCCAAACAGACTCTTTACATATATAAACTGACATGCGTTGTTAAAAGGTAGGTTATGTCATACAGGTTGAGTATCCACAATCCGAAAATCCAAAATGCCCCCAAATCTGAACCTTTTTGAGCACCAATGTGATACTACAAATGGAAAATTCTATACTTGAGTTTATGTGACAGGTCACAGTCTGAAACACAGGTCCACTGAAAATACTGCAGTGAATTTCATGGTTAGACTTTGGCTCCATCCCCAAGCTATCTCATTATGTGTATGCAAATATTCCAAAATCTGAAGACATCATCCAAAATATGTCTAGTCTCAACCATTTCATATAAGGAATATTCAACTATACTATCTGTAACTATTAAAATATAATTTAAGGCTAGCAGAGTGGCTCAAGTGGTAGAGCACCTGCCTAGCCAACACGAGGACCTGAGCTCAAACTCCAGTACCACCAAATATATATAAAATTGAATCTGTTCATAAAGAGTTCATATTTTTTGCAAAGATTTTATACAAATGTTTTCATTAGTAAAACTCTTGTAACTCTTTAGAAATCGTGTTTCTGTTTTTATTTTTATTTTTTTGAGATAGGGTCTCCTCTTACTATATAGTCCAGGCTGGCCTCGAATTTGGCAATCCTTCTGACTCTGCCTCTCAGTGCTTAATTCTTTTTTTTTTTGATCATAACAGCCCTGACCTCATCAGAGGTTCATAATTTTTTTTTTCATTTTTCTTTTATTATTCATATGTGCATACAAGGCTTGGTTTATTTCTCCCCCCTGCCCCCACCCCCTCCCTTACCACCCACTACACCCCCTCCCGCTCCCCCCCTCAATACCCAGCAGAAACTATTTTGCCCTTATCTCTAATTTTGTTGTAGAGAGAGTATAAGCAATAATAGGAAGGAACAAGGGGTTTTGCTGGTTGAGATAAAGATAGCTATACAGGGCATTGACTCACATTGATTTCCTGTGCGTGGGTGTTACCTTCTAGGTTAATTCTTTTTGATCTAACCTTTTCTCTAGTACCTGGTCCCCTTTTCCTATTGGCCTCAGTTGCTTTAAGGTATCTGCTTTAGTTTCTCTGCATTAAGGGCAACAAATGCTAGCTAGTTTTTTAGGTGTCTTATCTATCCTCACCCCTCCCTTGTGTGCTCTCGCTTTTATCATGTGCTCAAGTCCAATCCCCTTGTTGTGTTTGCCCTTGATCTAATGTCCACATATGAGGGAGAACATACGATTTTTGGTTTTTGGCCAGGCTAACCTCACTCAGAATGATGTTCTCCAATTCCATCCATTTACCAGCGAATGATAACATTTCGTTCTTCTTCATGGCTGCATAAAATTCCATTGTGTATAGATACCACATTTTCTTAATCCATTCGTCAGTGTGGGGCATCTTGGCTGTTTCCATAACTTGGCTATTGTGAATAGTGCCGCAATAAACATGGATGTGCAGGTGCCTCTGGAGTAACAGTCTTTTGGGTATATCCCCAAGAGTGGTATTGCTGGATCAAATGGTAGATCGATGTCAGCTTTTTAAGTAGCCTCCAAATTTTTTTCCAGAGTGGTTGTACTAGTCTACATTCCCACCAACAGTGTAAGAGGGTTCCTTTTTCCCCGCATCCTCGCCAACACCTGTTGTTTGGTGGTGTTGCTGATGATGGCTATTCTAACAGGGGTGAGGTGGAATCTTAGTGTGGTTTTAATTTGCATTTCCTTTATTGCTAGAGATGGTGAGCATTTTTTCATGTGTTTTGGCCATTTGAATTTCTTCTTTTGAGAAAGTTCTGTTTAGTTCACTTGCCCATTTCTTTATTGGTTCATTAGTTTTGGGAGAATTTAGTTTTTTAAGTTCCCTGTATATTCTGGTTATCAGTCCTTTGTCTGATGTATAGTTGGCAAATATTTTCTCCCACTCTGTGGGTGTTCTCTTCAGTTTAGAGACCATTTCTTTTGATGAACAGAAGCTTTTTAGTTTTATGAGGTCCCATTTATCTATGCTATCTCTTAGTTGCTGTGCTGCTGGGGTTTCATTGAGAAAGTTCTTACCTATACCTACTAACTCCAGAGTATTTCCTACTCTTTCCTGTATCAACTTAGAGTTTGGGTCTGATATTAAGATCCTTGATCCATTTTGAGTTAATCTTGGTATAGGGTGATATACATGGATCTAGTTTCAGTTTTTTGCAGACTGCTAACCAGTTTTCCCAGCAGTTTTTGTTGAAGAGGCTGCTATTTCTCCATCGTATATTTTTAGCTCCTTTGTCAAAGATAAGTTGGTTATAGTTGTGTGGCTTCATATCTGGTCCTCTATTCTGTTCCACTGGTCTTCATGTCTGTTTTTGTGCCAGTACCATGCTGTTTTTATTGTTATTGCTTTGTAATATAGTTTGAAGTCAGGTATTGTGATACCTCCTGCATTGTTCTTTTGACTGAGTATTGCCTTGGCTATTCGTGGCCTCTTGTGTTTCCATATAAATTTAACAGTAGATTTTTCAATCTCTTTAATGAATGTCATTGGAATTTTGATGGGAATTGCATTAAACATGTAGATTACTTTTGGGAGTATCGACATTTTTACTATGTTGATTCTACCAATCCATGAGCATGGGAGATCTCTCCACTTTCTATAGTCTTCCTCAATCTCTTTCTTCAGAAGTGTATAGTTTTCCTTGTAGAGGTCTTTCACATCTTTTGTTAGGTTTACACCTAGGTATTTGATTTTTTTTGAGGCTATTGTAAATGGAATTGTTTTCATACATTCTTTTTCCGTTTGCTCATTGTTAGTGTATAGAAATGCTAATGATTTTTCTATGTTGATTTTATATCCTGCTACCTTGCTATAGCTATTGATGATGTCTAGAAGCTTCTGAGTAGAGTTTTTTGGGTCTTTAAGGTATAGGATCATGTCGTCTGCAAATAGGGATATTTTGACAGTTTCTTTACCTATTTGTATTCCTTTTATTCCTTCTTCTTGCCTAATTGCTCTGGCTAGGAATTCCAGTACTATGTTGAATAGGAGTGGAGATAGTGGGCATCCTTGTCTTGTTCCTGATTTTAGGGAATGGTTTCAGTTTTTCTCCATTAAGTATAATGCTGGCTGTAGGTTTGTCATATATAGCTTTTATAATGTTGAGGTACTTTCCTTCTATTCCTAGTTTTCTTAGAGCTTTTATCATGAAATAGTGTTGGATCTTATCAAAGGCTTTTTCTGCATCTATTGAGATGATCAAGTGGTTTTGTCTTTGCTTCTGTTAATGTGGTTTATTACGTTTATTGATTTTCGTATGTTGAACCACCCCTGCATCCTGGGATGAAGCCTACTTGGTCGTGGTGAATAATCTTTTTGATGTGTTGCTGAATTCGGTTTGCCATTATTTTGTTGAGGATTTTTGCATCAATGTTCATTAAGGAGATTGGCCTATAGTTCTCCTTTTTGGAGGTGTCTTTGCCTGGTTTTGGATAAGTGTAATACTGGCTTCATAAAATGTGTTGGCAGTCTTTTTGATTGTGCTGAATTCGACTTTCCATTTTTTGTTGGGATTTTTGCTCAATGTTCATTAAGAGACTTGGGCCTATTTATTTTCTCCTTTTTAGGAGGTATTGTCTTAATGCTGTTTTGGGGATAAGCTGTACCTACTGCTTATAAATGTGTTTGGCATTTTTCCTTCCCTTTCTATTTCATGGAACAGTTTAAGGAGGGTTGGTATCAGTTCTTCTTAAGTCTGAATGGATTCAGCAGAGAATCCATCAGGTCCTGGACTTTTCTTTTTGGGGAGACTCTTGATTGCTGCTTCAATTTCATTTTGTGTTATAGGTCTATTCAGATTAATTCCTCTTGGTCAGTTTTGGATGATCGTATGTATCTAGAAGATCTGTCCATTCTTTTAGATTTCAATTTATTTGAATATAGGTCTCAAAGTAGTCTCTGATATTTCCTGGACTTCCAGGTGTTTGTTGTTATCCCCTTTTGCATTCCTGATTCTACTAATTTGGGTTTTTCTCTCCTCATTTTTAGTCAGGTTTGCCAGGGGTCATCGATCTTGTTTATTTTTCAAAGAACCAACTTTTTGTTCATTAATTCTTTGTATGGTTTTTTGGTTTCATTTCGTTGATTTCAGCTCTTATTTTTATTATTCTCTCCTTCTATTTTGTTTGGGATTTGCTTGTTCTTGTTTTTCTAGGAGTTTGAGATGTATCATTAGGTTCATTTATTTGAATCTTTCAATCTTTTATAATATATCACTCATGCTATAAACTTTCCTTCAAGACTGCCTTAGCTGTGTCCCATAGGTTCCTTTAGGTTGTGTTTTCATTTTCATTGACTTCCAGGAACATTTTAATTTCCTCTTTTATTGCATCGATGATCCATTCTTCATTAAGTAATGAGTTATTTAGTTTCCAGCTGTTTGCATGTTTTAAAGACATCTTTGTATTGGCAGTCTGACTCAGCATACCTTTTTATTGTCAAATTACAATAGAAATTGACTTAAAGTTAATTCCACAAACTAACAATTCCATGTGCTATCTTCTAATCAAATAATTGGCACAAAATATGTACTTATTTATGATGAAGGTATGTATATGCATTTTAGCCATACTAGATGACCATTAGCAATATGTTTTTAGAACTGGCTTAAAATAAATTTCATATAACACACATTTGGCTAGAAAAAATGGAACCAACCAATGAACTATTGTTCTGCCATCAAGCCAAAAGTAACTCATTACACCTCTCCAGTACAAACAACCCAATTCAGATTGACTATAATATCTGTTATTTGTATATTTTAGAAAGTGAAATATTTGGAAAATTATGCTTTTTAGTCTTCAGAGGTTGGAATTAACTGTACACCCAAAACACAAGCATGAAAATATGTGTATTCTTTTTTTTTTTTTCTCTTTTTAGGAGAATTTTTCCTCTTCTATGAGCCTCAAAAAGACTACTGGGGTTTTTTAACCCCAATGACTGTGCCTAGAATCCAGGGCTTAGCAGCTGTGTACAAGAGCTCTATCTACTACATAGCTGGAACCTGTGGAAACCACCAACGCATGTTTACTGTGGAAGCTTATGATGAGCTAAATAAATGGACTCGTAAGAAGGACTTTCCATGTGATCAGTCCATAAATCCTTACCTTAAGCTGGTACTTTTCCAGAATAAACTCCATTTATTTGTTCGAGCTACTCAAGTGACTGTTGAAGAACATGTCTTCAGAACCAGCAGGAAAAATTCCCTTTACCAATATGATGACATTGCTGACCAATGGATGAAAGTGTATGAGACTCCAGATCGGCTGTGGGACCTTGGTCGTCATTTCGAATGTGCTGTTGCTAAACTCTATCCTCAGTGTCTTCAGAAAGTACTCTGATGAGTAGTAGTTCTTAGTGTATCACTGGCATCTCATACTGAGAAATATTGTCTTAGGAAGCACTGTATTGAAGAAAGCTGAGTTTTTATACACGGAAATGGGTGCTCTTAAAGATTACAGTGTAGGGAGGGATTTGCTTTCACCTTTGTGATGTTTTCATTTCAGTAGGGAAAAGGTAATAAAGTGCAATTATCAGCATTTTTTTTTCCTGGCATAAAAGTAATTGTATCACTCTATAATTTTGTGATAGCCACTGAGATACCAGATAAGTCACGACAACTATGCACTCTTAAAGAGCAGTTAGGGTATTATTGGGAAGAGACATCCAAAATAGTTTGACACGACTTTTTATTTTAAATACGGGTAACAGTCAGAGGCAATATCACTAGGACTTTATTTAGCTGTGACTTCTCTAACACAGAGATGCACTAACTTAGATCCTCATTCTTAATATTTATATATATATTTACATATATTTTTGTGTACTGTTTTCAAGTGTACTGAGATTTAAATGTGTTCTGTTATTAGAGTAGGCTGAAGAAAAAATCAGTCTCAGAAAGAACTTTTAGTATGATTATTTCGTATTTCCATATAACTTTAAGTTAAGCTAAAAGTTTTAAAGTGGCAGTTTTCTGTCCATAACTTTTTCAAGTGCTAACACTGTCTCATTTTTTTAAATCCCAGAAAGGACGTATATTTGCAGGTGGCTGGTGCTAGTATGAGAATTCACGTGTATAGTTGATAGATTTAAGTGGTCTGAGCCTATGTTTATCTTTCAAGTTAGTATATTAGTTTCAAGACTATTATACTTTACCTGTTGAACTCCTGTGATTTCACAAGGTTTACTACCTATGTAGTAGGAATAGTCAGTTATTGGTCTAACTGGATTCAGTCATATAATAGTAAGACCATTATACCAAGTTTGCACTAACATGGGGCATTTTGTTGCCCGACCTCCATTTCCATCTTCTACCTGTCCAGTCATTGTTGGTACAATGAAAGTTAACTTATAATGTGAAGTTTTACATCTACTTTTAAAATTCTGTTTTCCAGAAACATAAAATTCCTACAGTAATCTAATAATTTAATGACTTTAAGTTTCATATTATAATTACAACCTCATTTTTTTTTTTTGCACTTAACAGTGGTGAATACTTTTACATTGAAATACTTGTTCTAGCTGAAGGTAATGGAGAAAAAAGAGTGAGTAAACAGAATTACAGCTTTATAGGTACTAAGTCATTTTCATATTTAACTGATGAATTTCTAACAGGCAGGGATATTAACATGAAAGGCAAACAAACTCACTTGTGTATCTGAGGCAGGCATTTGGATTGGTAACTTATTCTTTATTATGTCTAAAATAACTGATAAAAGACGAGTATAGCCCACAATCTGTCCTTAGTCAGAACAGTTTGATTCTCTTAAAGAAAACATACTGGCATGGTTTGTATTAAAAAAAAAAATCTTGCACAAATTGTAATGAGATACTGTGAAACAAATTTAAAACATTGCCTCTTCACATCACATACCTCGTTTTTCAGAAACTTTCCAAACTGCTTTACAAAGACCTCTACAAGTCGGGACAGTTTTCTGAAGCAGAAGTTCAAATGGACAGCATTTATAGGATTAACATTTTAAGATCTAGTTTTAGAAAGCTAGATATGTATTTCTTCTTATTGGCCTTGATAATGTATGTATAATCTCTTTATAAACTTTGTCAACCAATATTTGTACCTCCTCAGTTTTTCCTTGTCTGCTGTTTTCTTTATCTTCGTGCTGTTTTAGGGTTATTTCTGAGACTTTTTTTCAACTTTTTTTTGTAGTTTTGTGTTTTGGAGGGGAGGAAAAAAGATAACCAATATTTGCAAGAGATATCTGTGTAACTTATTTTTGAAAACTTTGTTGAGTATCTAAGGTTTTCTGCCGCTTTTTGACAATCTTCTGTATTTAGAAAAATATTACTTGAAAACATGACTTAGAACTTTGAGTTAGCAATGTACATGTGCTGTATGATATGTAAGAGAACAATATGCTGTGGTTAATTCTACAGTAGATTTATTCTGTTGGTCTGCACAATAGTTGATCCTTTTGTTATCACAGTTTATACTGAGGTTACGATCTGAGTATAGTATGTCAAAGCCAAGACCTAGAATTTGCTACCGGAGTACAATATATATTGAATTTTGTATGAAGAACTATTTGTTTACATTATATAGCTGGGATAATTTGCCACTTTTAAAATGGTTTCAGAAGAGGTTCTAGAAAACTAAGATTAGTGATGTGTGTGGATTTATGTGTAGATATTTAAGGCACATTTTCATGGTATGATGAGAATATAAATAAAAGGCACAATGGCAAGTACAGAATTAAAAGACAGGTCTAATAAATCCAGTCCCACTCTAGCTATGTTTTCACATTTGAAGAATGTATGTAGCACTTTCCTATCTATTTTTACATACACATTGAAGACTAGACTTGGTATAACTATGTTGTAGGAAAGTAGAAATTGTATACTTCATTTTCCATCTTTGTTTTCTGTTGTGATACAAGGTTGACATTTAAGTGTCAAGCTGATTTCATTGGTGCATGAGAAGAAGTGGATATGATCTGTAAGGAAACAGATTCCCATGTAAAACAGTTTAAAATGGCGTTCCATGTTCAGTGCTCAGGTATGTAGTAAGTACTGTAGTCCTATGGGGGCAAATGTGTAGATATTTTTAAACATTTTGCCGTAATTGCACAATTTTTTGCATTTTTACCTGATGTCATTGTTTCTTATAATAAAACCTTTTCTGATTAAAAACTTCCAGCATTGTAAACTGACTTCTGATGAGTTTTGCAGAATTAAAATTTGATGAAAATCATTAAATATCTCATGGCATGGTAAAATGGAGTAAAATTTTAATGTATTTTAATCGATTGAATATCTGGCCTCTGGTAGAAAATAAATTAGTATCAATTTATGTAATGCTCTTTAGGTCCTAAAACAAACTCACTTAAATCAATAATTACTTTATTCTGATTGTTCTGGCCTAAAATGTCAATTCCTCTCTCTTATACACTTCATATAATTGGTTGGAAGATCCTGTTGATTCTTCCTTAGAAATATATCCAGACTCTGTCCATGGATTGCGTTTACCACTGTTATCCTAGTCTAAGCTAATCTGTTTTGTCTGTCTCTGTGCAGTTGCCACTGGGCTGGTCTTCCTTTTATCTATCACCCTTGACTCCTTGTAATCTTATTTTCTCCATACAGTTGTCTGAGTAGTCCTGTTTAAACATAAAGTCAGATTATGTCTTCTGCTCAGATTCCTCCAATGGCATTCCATCCCCTTTCATATGGAGCCAAACTCTTACCTGAATTATGTGCACCCCTAACCCATCTCTTAGGCCTCATTGCTATTCCCCCAGTTCATTCTATTCCAGCCACACTGACCTCAAGCATACAAAGTACTCCCAACATCAGGGCCTTTGCCCAGGCAATATTGTTTGTCAGGGAATCTGTGGCAACACTTACTCAAATCTGTATTAAAATGTCACCTAACCAAAGAGCCTTTTCTGATCACCTTATTTTCCTTCCTCACTCATACCACCAACTTTTTCCTGCTTTATTTTTTCACTTTCCCATTAAAATGTAAGCTCCATGAAGACAAAACATTTGTTTTATCCACTATTGCCCTTTAGATTGTGACGCCTGACACATAGTGAACACTCAGTAAATGTTTGTATGAAGAAATGGACTTTTTTTAAATTTATAATTCATTAATAGTACAAGGGAGTTTCATATGAAAATTACATATATGCATGCAGTGTATTTTGAGCAAGTGCACCCCTTTATTATATTCCCTTAGCCCCCCCTCCCTCCTGCTTCCCTTTAGAAACAATATTTGGTGGGTTGGAAGAAATGAATTTTCTCTTAAGTCTCAGAGCACCCTGAGAAGTTGTTGGACCGTACTGTCACCTATTTTATCAGACAGGAAACAAAGGCCAAGTGAATTGCTAAAAGTCATCTAACAAAGGTCACCTGAGATGAGAACCAAGTCTTCCACTTTCACCTAGTTCATATGTGCTGTGCTGTGTTAGTTCCAAACAAAATGGATGGGAAAGGTGATGCTCCATATTTTGTTTAACGGTTGCCTTTTTAGAGTTCAATTTTCCCCCAACATTATTATTTAAAATATCTTCTGTAGTTTGTAATTCTCATTCAGGCAGTAGATGAGGTAGGAAAATACCTTCTCTTTGTTACCCCCATCTGTACCTCCTCCCCATTATTATATTATTATACTAATAAGCCACTAGTATGAGTTATGTTCCTCAAATAAGCTTCTTGGAAGAGATTGTGGAAAACTGGTATAATTTTTACCTAAATGTAGAATTTACAAGTGAAACCATCTGGACCTGACCCTGTAGTTTGGAAGGTTACTAATTCATTTTCTCTAATATGTATGGGGATATCCAGGTTATATATTTCTTCTGTGAATTTTGTTTGTGCTTTTCAAAAGACTGTTCCATTTCATATACATTATCAAGTTTGTAGACAAAGAGTTAAAGAGTTAGTAATAGTGTTCTTCTTCTAATGTCCATGGAATTGATAGTGATTCTCCGCTTTCATTTCTGATGTTGGTAATTTGTATCTTTTTGTTTGTTTTTTATTTATCTATTTGTTTATTTTTTTTCAAGACAGGCTCTTACCCTGTAGCCCAGGCTGGCCTTGAACTCAAAATCCAGAGTACTAGGATTACAGACCTGAGCCATTACATCTGGCTTTCCTTGATAATCTTTCTTGTTCTGAAGTCTTCATTATGAAGTTAACGTAGCCTCTCAAGGTTTCTTTTGATTTGTGTTAGCTTAATTTGTCTTTATCTTTTTTTCTTTCAACCTGGGTTTTTATATGCAAAATCAGTTTCTGGCAGACAACTTAGAGGTAAGACTTATTTTTATATACACTGTGAGAATCTGCTTTCTAACTGGTGTGTTTAGACCACTTTAAAGTGATTACTGATATATTTGGATTGATATATACGTTCATATTTGTTAATGCTTCTTGTTT